CGGATCATTTTTCCGGGCGTAATAGTCCCTTCAAAAAAAAATAATAATTTGGTCACTCAATCCACGACTGTTTGTGGGACACTGCTGTGCGCAATTGGCTGCCGAGTTTCGCCCACAAAAAATACAGTCCATTCAGTTTGTCATATATTCTGTGAAGCGCTTTGGGATGTCTCGGAACTGTGATAAGGCGCTAAATCAAATGTAAGGATAATTATTATTATTATGACATTCTGCAGGATTCTGCCTCTTGCCTGTGCGTCCACTTTACTGTGTGCGCTGCCATGGGTCAGTAACGGAAAATGACACCGGGCTTCCAGGACAAAGCAATTACTCACCCTGTGTGTAAGCCAGGTCTTTAGTGGCCAGTAGCCCCAATGGCTCAATGTGTGGTGCTAGGAGGAGCAGCCCATCGTAACAATGTGGCTCACTCCCAGCACAGGCTCCGCATCCTTCAATCCGCTTTTGTCTGATTTCTGATCGGCATGAAGTAATACAACGTGTGTTTAGATTAACGCTTGTTTGAGCAGCAGAGGATTCAATGCTATAACAGAGTTGCTGAGGCATATGGTGCTTTGACAGGAGTTCTCACAGGGAACTGATTAACCCATTCTGCAACTCCCTTCAACCTCTCTGCCCTCACTCTTTGGAACTCCATCCCAAAGTCCCTTCACCTTGCTCCCTCCCTTGCCTCCTTCAAGGCCATGTCGCAAGACCCTCCTCTTCCATCACGCCTTTAGCCACCCTCCTACCCCTATCCTTCCCGCCTTCCATCCCTCCTGATGCCAATCCTCAGCTTGGGTCCAAATCCCTGATTGTCCAGTGCCTTGGGACGACCTCCCGACGTGAAAATTTGTTTTGTTGTTTACTCCAGGCTCTTCTCTCAATCCCCAATCCTCAATATACAAAATGTACTCCAGCTCCAGTATCACAGAAATCCTTGTCCCTGTGGAGTTTTGCCTGTCTGTCTCACTCTATGCCGATCCCTGTAACATCCTCAAGCAGACATTTGTCCAGGGGTTTTGAACGGTTGATTAGCTCAACGAAAAGTCTACTCCTCATGCCCGCTTCTCAGTGGGGAAACCACACCGTATCTTCAGATCGGACTAAGAAACGTTAGCATAAAATCCTAGAATCGTACAGCACAGAAGGAGGTCATTCAACACATCATGCGTGTGCCGGCTCTTTGAAAGAGTTATCTAACTTGTTCCACTCCCCATCTCTTACCCCGTAGCCCTGCAAATGTTTCCTTTTTAATGACCTATCCAATTCCCTTTTGAAAGCTATTATCGTATCTGCTTCCACCACCCTTTCAGGCAATGCATTCCAGACTGTAACAACTCTCTGGCTAAAGAAATTCTCCTCATCTTCGCACTGGTTCTTTTGCTATTTATCTTAAATCTGTGTACTGTGGTCACTGACCCACTCAATAGGGGAAACAGTTTCTCCCTGTCTACTCTATCAAACCCTCTCATAATTTTGAACACCTCTGTTATATCTCCCATCAACCTTCTTTGCTCTAAGGAAAATATCTATCCTTCTAGCTCACCTCATACTGAGAGTAAGGAAAGGATAATTGCACTAACATCCCCTGCATCTCTTTCATTTTGTGGAGTCCTGTAGTGTTTAGCACTCGCCTTGCAAGCGAGAGGACTGGGTTCAGTTCCCGGATGGGGCGAAACCTTAGACAAGTTTCCTTACTCCACACGTCTTTGTTTATCTAGCAGTAAGTAGGAACCCGGTTGTTATTCGATTAGCGGATCACTTTTCCGGGGGTAATAATACTTCAAAAAAAAATAATATTAAGTTGGTCACTCAATCCACGACTGTTTGCTTATTGCATAATGTGTGCGTTCTTTGAAATCAAGAGGCCCAGCTTCCAGAGGATACAGTTCAAATTCCTCATCCTCACACTCAAAGCTGTCCACAGCCTTGCTCCTTCCTACCTCTGTGACCTGCCAACCCCATATCAATCTGTCCGCTCCCTCTGTTCATCCCAGCCTGCTCCAAGTCTCCTGCCCGGCTCACCTCACCATTGGCGGTCGGGCCTTCACTCTCTCTGTCCCCACTATTTGGAACACCATCCCTTCGCCTTGCTCCCTCCCTTGACTCCTACAACGCCCGTCTCAAGACCATCCTCTTCGTCCGTGCCTTCGGTCACCCTTCTACCCACACCCTTCCTGCCCTTCACCCCTCCTGATCCCAACTGCCAGCTCAGGTCCAAATCCCTGACTGTCCAGCGACTTGGGATGTCCTCCCGACGTGAAATGCGCTGTGCAATTTGTTGTTGTTGTTGTGACCCGCGGATCCTGTTTCCTTGCGCTGCCTGTAACCTTACACATACTGAGTTGTGAGCCCGGCGTTGCTTGAGGTAATGTCTACACACACACAGCCTGAGTATTAATTCTCTGAACCCTGGAGCCTCCCAGGTTTTATATTGTGCAGAACAAGTGGTGATTGAGTGAGGGAATGCCTGTATAATTCCTGTCAGTGAGTGTGGGCTCCGTGAGAAGCAATTAAAAGCTATTTTGAAGAGTGCTTCCAGTGTTTCTGTGCAGCCTTGTGCTGCGGTAATGAGCGCTCTTGTTAGTACTTGTTGCATATCTTCGTCTCCATCGTCCATTTTACATTGTGACTGTGTGAAGCGGAGCCTGGATTCTCCGCAACTGTCTGGCCTGGAGAATGGGGAATAACAATAATGATAATAATAGTAATCCTTGTATTTGATACAGCGCATTATCAAGTCTTCAAGATGTCCTAAGTGCATCACAGAATATACTGTAAAGTGAATTGACTGCATATTTTGTGGGCGAAACACAGCAGCCAATTGTCTACAGCAGCGTCCCACAAACAGTCGTGCATTGAGTGACCGTATTGTTATTTATTTATTTTTGAAGGCATTATTACCGTCGGAAAAGCGATCTGCCATACAGTTAACAATCGAGCTCCTGCTTACTGATAAGTAAGCAGAGGCGTGTGGAGTACGGAAACTTGCCCAGTATTCAGCCCAGAAATTGAACTCAGGTTCTCTTGCTTACGAATACTCTAACCACTAAGTTACAAGATTTTACCTATAGAATAGATTGAACATAAAGGAATATTATATTCTGGGTTAATGAGCTGAGCCTGAAGTCCCACATTATGAATTGAATCTTAAAATTAGAGCTAAGCCATTTAGGAATGTAGTCAGGAAGCATTTGGAGGAGTCCTGTGGCTCCTCCAAATGCCTCCTGTGGAGTCCTGTAGCTCAGTGGTTAGAGCACTTGCCTTGCAAGCGAGACACCTGGGTTCAATTCCCGGCAGAGGGCGAAACCTTGGGCAAGTTTCCTTACTCCACACAGAGCCTAATAATAATCCCTCCAGAAAAACAAAACAATAATAAATTGGTCATTTTCAACCCACGGCTGTTTGTGGGACATTGCTGTGTGCAATTGGCTGCCGCGTTTGCCCACAAATATACAGTCAATTCACTTTACAGTATATTCTGTGAAGCGCTTTGAGATGTCGAGAAGACGTGAAAAGCGCTATATCAAATGCAAGGATTATTATTATTATATTTTTCACACACAAAGGGTAGCGTCTCTCATATTTTCAAGACTGCAGTGAATAGATTTTTGTTAGGTCAGGGTATCAAGAGATATGGGCAAAGGTGGGTAAATGGAGTTAAGGTGTAGATCAGCCATGACCTAATAAAATGGTGGAACAGACTTGAAGGGCTGAATGGTCTAGTCCTGTACCTATGTTCCTATGTGGAAGGTGACCAAAAAGTTGTAATACAATTGCAATGTCTACAAGTCTTTAAAAAATTATGATTTTTTTTAGATAATAGGGTAGCTTCAGGACGTTTTGGTCACCCTATATAAGTGGGGCAATTTTGCTGGTTTAAAATTTAAGATGTGTGTGTGTGGGGATGTGTGTTTGTGTGTGGGGATGGATGTGTGGGTGTAGGGCGTGCAGGTCTGATTTCCGCTGTGCTGTGCTGTATTTGATAATCGGGATTTGGCAGAGGGAGAGAGACATTGAGTGAATGAAGCATCAAATGACAGGAACCAGAGAAGTGTAGATCAATCACTCCAGCACATATTTTACCAGGAACTCCATAATAATAGCAATAATCATTGCATTATTATATATTATTATTATATTATATAATATATCATACAGCGCATTATCATATCTTTGAGACCTCTCAAAGTGCAGAATATACTGTAAAGTGAATTGACTGTATATTTTGTGGGCGAAACGCGGCAGCCAATGGCGCACAGCAGCGTTCCATAAACAGTTGTGAATTGAGTGACCCCAAACTTTTTTTTTGACCGGATTATTACCCCCAGAAAAGAGATCCGCTTCCTGCTTACTGCTAGGTAAACAGAGGCATGTGGAGTAAGGAAACTTGTCCAACATTTCGCCCTGCCCGGGAATCGAACCCAGGTCCTCTCACTTATGAGTCTAGGCGAGTGCTCTAACCACTAAGCTACAGGACTCATGGAATTGGGACTTTCCAAATTAGCATCGGTGATAATAGGGGCCCGTGCCATAATCAACAACCGTGGTGGGGGGGGTGGGATTGGGGTAATAGGGGTAATCTCCCCAGCCAATCCCAGCCCCCTGGTAGCCCAGCCCTTGTTGGCTAAAGTTGGCCATTGTGGGTTTGACTTTGGCTCTGCTTTGGAGGCCAGTAAGAGCCAGCAGTGAGGTCACCCCAGCACAGAGTGATACACCGGACAGGTGTGGAGGTGTGGACTGTCACCCTTCAGTATGGCGAAACGCGGCAGCTAAGTGCACAGAGCAGCGTCCCACAGACAGCCGAGGATTGAGTGACCAAATTCGTAATACTTTATTTTTTTGAAGGGGTTATTGGCGATCCGCCAATCAACTAACAACTGGGTTCCACCCTAAGTTTCGCCCTAATTCACACTTCAACAGCCAGCTGTTCTGCTATTTTTTGGGGGCTGCCCATTGCAGTGATAACCGTCTCTCTCTCGCTCTCTCTCCATTTGCAGCCAGTGCCGTCGAGATGCCGAAACAAGTGGAAGTGCGGATAACCGACAGTCACATGATGCCTGAGGAATTCCAGAAAAAGCCCATATGGAGAAGGATTCTAGCGAATCTGCAGAAAAACCTACTGCTCACACTCACCGTGTTGGGTGCGACACTCCCTATCCCCCACCACCGCATACGCAAACTACATGCATGTTTATAACGTGTCCATGGTGTGCTGTATCGTGCTGTGCTCTTTAACTGTGCCTTCAGCTCCCCTCTCGACACTCTATCCCCTCCTCGCTCCTTCCCTTCCCTCCCCTGACATTTTACCCCCAATGCTCGGATCCTGACCCAACTGTACAGCGCCTTGGGAGTCCTCCCGACGTGAAAGGCGCTCAATAAATGGAATCTTGTTGTTGTTGTTGTGCTGTGTTGTGTGTCGCATTGTGCTGTGTAGAGTGTAGTGTGTTGTGGCTGTGTAGTGTGTTTTGATGGCTGTGTAGTGTGTTGTGGCTGTGTGGTGTATGGTGGTGGGTGTGTATTGTGTGGGGGTGGCTGTGTAGAACATGGTGGTGCCTATGTCGTGTTTGCTGGTGGCTGTGTAGTGAGCGGTGGTGCCTGTGTAGTCTGTTGTGGCTGTTTAATGTGTGGTGGCAGCTGTGTGGGGTGGAGGCTGTGTAGTGTGTTGTGGCTGTGTAGTGTTTGATGGCTGTGTAGCGTGTGGGTTTGGCTGCGTAGTGTGTGGTGATGGCTGCGTAGTGTGTGGTGGGGGCTGTGTAGTATGTGGTGATGGCTGTGTTGTGGCTGCGTAGTGTGTTTTGGCTGTTTAATGTGTTGCTGTGGCTGTGTAGTGTGTGGTGGTGGTTGTGCAGTGTGTGATGATGCCTACATAGTGTGTGGTGGTGGCTGTGTGGTGGTGGCTGTGTAATGTGTGATGGCGGCTGTATAGTGTGTTGTGGCTGTGAAGCATATGGTGGTGGGTGTGTAGTGTGTAATGGTGGCTGCTTCGTGTATGTGGAGGCTGTGTAATGTGTGGTGGTGGCTGCGTAGTGTTTGGTGGTGGCTGTGTAGTGTGTTGTGGCTGTTTAGCATATGGTGGAGGTTGTGCATTTTGTGGTGGTAACTGTAGTGTGTGGTGGTGGCTGTGTAGTGTGCGGTGTGTGGTGGCTGTGTAGTGTGTGGTGGTGGCTGTGTAGTGTGCGGTGTGTGGTGGCTGTGTAGTGTGCGGTGTGTGGTGGCTGTGTAGTGTGCGGTGTGTGGTGGCTGTGTAGTGTGCGGTGTGTGGTGGCTGTGTAGTGTGCAGTGGTGGCTGTGTAGTGTGTGGTGTGTGGTGGCTGTGTAGTGTGCGGTGTGTGGTGGCTGTGTAGTGTGTGGTGTGTGGTGGCTGTGTAGTGTGCGGTGGCTGTTTAGCATATGGTGATGGTTGTGCATTCTGTGGTGGTAACTGTGTAGTGTGCGGTGGTGGCTGTGTGCGGTGGTGGCTGTGTAGTGTGCGGTGGTGGCTGTGTAGTGTGCGGTGGTGGCTGTGTGGTGTGTGCTGGTGGCTGTATGGTGACTGTATGGTGTGTGGTGGTGGCTCTGTAATGTGCCGTGGTGGCTGTGTGGTGTGTGGTGGCTGTCTGGTGTGTGGCTGTGTGGTGTGTGGTGGCTGTGTAGTGTGTGGTGTGTGATGGCTGTATGGTGGCTATGTGGTGTGTGGCATGTGGTGGCTGTGTAGTGTGTGGTGGCTGTGTAGTGTGTGGTGGCTGTGTAGTGTGTGGTGGCTGTGTAGTGTGTGGTGGCTGTGTAGTGTGTTGTTGCTGTTTAGCATATGGTGGTGGTTGTGCATTCTGTGGTGGTGGCTGTGCGGTGTGCGGTGGTGGCTGTGCGGTGTGCGGTGGTGGCTGTGCGGTGTGCGGTGGTGGCTGTGCGGTGTGCGGTGGTGGCTGTGCGGTGTGCGGTGGTGGCTGTGCGGTGTGCGGTGGTGGCTGTGCGGTGTGCGGTGGTGGCTGTGCGGTGTGCGGTGGTGGCTGTGCGGTGGTGGCTGTGCGGTGTGCGGTGGTGGCTGTGCGGTGTGCGGTGGTGGCTGTGCTGGTGTGCGGTGGCTGTGTCGGTGTGCGGTGGCTGTGCTGGTGTTGCGGTGGCTGTGCTGGTGTGCGGTGGCTGTGCTGGTGTGCGGTGGCTGTGCTGGTGTGCGGTGGCTGTGTGGGTGTGCGGTGGCTGTGCTGGTGTGCGGTGGCTGTGCGGGTGTGCGGTGGCTGTGCGGTGGCTGTGCGGTGGCTGTGCGGGTGTGCGGTGGCTGTGCGGTGGCGGTGCGGTGTGCGGTGGCTGTGCGGTGGGCGGTGTGCGGTGGCTGTGCGGTGGGCGGTGTGCGGTGGCTGTGCGGGTGTGCGGTGGCTGTGCGGTGTGCGGTGGCTGTGCGGTGTGCGGTGGCTGTGCGGGTGTGCGGTGGCTGTGCGGTGTGCGGTGGTGGCTGTGCGGTGTGCGGTGGTGGCTGTGCGGTGTGCGGTGGTGGCTGTGCGGTGTGCGGTGGTGGCTGTGCGGTGGTGGCTGTGCGGTGGTGGCTGTGCGGTGGTGGGTGTGCGGTGGTGGCTGTGCGGTGTGCGGTGGTGGCTGTGTAGTGTGCGGTGGCTGTGTGGTGGGCGGTGTGCGGTGGCTGTGTGGTGGGCGGTGTGCGGTGGCTGTGTGGTGGGCAGTGTGCGGTGGCTGTGTGGTGGGCGGTGTGCGGTGGCTGTGTGGTGGGCGGTGTGCGGTGGCTGTGCGGTGGGCGGTGTGCGGTGGGCGGTGTGCGGTGGCTGTGCGTTGGGCGGTGTGCGGTGGCTGTGTGGTGGGCGGTGTGCGGTGGCTGTGTGGTGGGCGGTGTGCGGTGGGCGGTGTGCGGTGGCTGTGCGGTGGGCGGTGTGCGGTGGCTGTGCGGTGGGCGGTGTGCGGTGGCTGTGCGGTGGGCGGTGTGCGGTGGCTGTGCGGTGGGCGGTGTGCGGTGGCTGTGCGGTGGGCGGTGTGCGGTGGCTGTGTGGTGGGCGGTGTGCGGTGGCTGTGTGGTGGGCGGTGGTGGCTGTGTGGTGGGCGGTGGTGGCTGTGTGGTGGCTGTTTGTTGGGCGGTGGAGGCTGTGTGGTGGGCGGTGGTGGCTCTGTGGTGGGCGGTGGTGGCTCTGTGGTGGGCGGTGGTGGCTCTGTGGTGGGCGGTGGTGGCTGTGTGGTGGGCGGTGGTATCATCTTAATCAATAGCGGTACAGGCTCGCGGGGCTGAATGGCCTACTCGTGTTCCTATGGCTGTTCTGACAGCTGTTTGTGTGCAGGTGTGGTGCTTGGCTCGGTGTGTGGGGGTTTGCTCCGCTACGCCTCTCCCATCCACCCCGATGTTGTCATGCTGATCAGCTTCCCCGGAGACATCCTCATGAGGATGCTCAAGATGTTGATTCTTCCTTTAATCATTTCCAGTTTAATAACAGGTGAGAGCAGGCTGGGGCATGTGTCCAGGGAGGGTATGGGTGGGGGAGAGGTCGGAGGCTGGGCATGTAATGAACGGGGACGGGACATGTGTGGGATGGGTGTGGGGCATATAATGAGACAGCATGGGATGTGGGATAACGAACAGGGGTGGAGCTGTACCAAGCGGTGGGCGGTGCATAAGCCCAGTGGGGGCAGGTTGTGTGCCCAGTTGTGGCGGGGCATGTGGGGAGTGGGGTGGGCAGTAATGACTGCCATGGGGCAGGCATGGCAATGGCGGTTTGACGATTTGATGACTGTGTGCGTGTGATCTCTGCAGGTCTGGCAGGCCTGGATGCCAAGTCCAGCGGGCGGCTGGGCACGCGTGCCATGGTTTATTACATGGCCACCACCGTGATCGCAGCTGTGCTGGGAGTCATCCTGGTGCTCAGCATCCACCCCGGCAACCCCAACCTGAGGAAGGAGCTGGGCGAGGGCCACAAGAACAAGGAGGTGTCCAGCCTGGATGCTTTCCTCGATCTCATCCGCAATCTCTTTCCCGAAAACCTAGTCCAGGCCTGTTTCCAACAGGTGAGAGCCAGCTTCACCTCGGCAGGACCAAAGTGACGTCTGACCAAGGCCACAGACTCACTGACTGAGTCTAGAGAGTGACAGACTGTTGTGTGCCCACCTCTCCTCCCCCCTTTGCCCACTTCCCACGCCATTGCTCACCGAACTATATCTGATTGCCATAGTTACTGGGGCTGTCATGGCTGTACAAGTAATCGGTGTCAGCCTCTCTGCCCCCACACTCTGGAACTGTATCCCACGGTCGCCTCGCTTCCTCCCTCGCCTCCTTCAAGGCCGGTCTCAAGACCCTTCTCTTCGACTGTGCCTTTGATCGCCGTTCCACCTCTCTGCCTTCGCTCACCCCTCCCCCATGTTCGGCCCCCGACACCTGATTGTTCAGCACTTTGGGACGTCCTCCCGACATGAAAGGCGCTCTATAAATGTCATTTTGTTGTTACTGTTGTTGTCCTGCTGCAGTACCAATGGTTGGCCACTAGATGTTACTAAACCATTTTGTAAATCCTGGTCCAAGAAGATGTTATTTCCTGAGCTTGTTAACACGTGTTATTTCATTGGCTTATGTGACCCCACTTCCCTCCTCTAGATACAAACGGTTACCAAGAAAATCCTGGTCCCCACCAAACAGGATGTGGCTAATGTGACTGACACCATCCTCGAGGCCATCAATGGCACCTTCGAGGACCCCAACGAACCCACTGTCATGATCAAGAAAGGCCTGGAGTTCAAAGATGGGATGAATGTCCTGGGTAAGTTCCCTTCAACACTCACTGGGCCATTCCTACCCTCTCTTCAAACCCTTTCTATAACCCGACTCCTTCCATCCCAACCCGCTTGCAGTCACTAGTACCCAACTCCTTGCTTGGTCTTCCATATTGTCCATGTAATGTCCTGTGAGATTTTCTACCACGTGAAAGGTACTGGATCATTCTGAATGTCCAGGAATCTCTTAGAGGGTAGAACTGAGAGACCACAGCACAGTGTTGAGTGTTGATATAGTGTTGGTGTTCGGTGTGAGTGTTGGCTGTTGGCGTGGGTGTTGGGTGTGGATATTGGTTGTGAATTTTGGATGTGGGTGTTGTGTGGGGGTTTTGTGTGTGTGTGTTTGATGGGAGTGCTGTGTGTTGGGTTTGAGTGTTGGCTGTTGGTGTTGTGCGTGGGTATTGGATGTTGGGGTTGGTGTGGGTGTGGGTGTTGCGTGTGGGTTTTGGGTATGCGTGTTGAGTGTTGGGTATAGGTGTTGGGTTTGGGTGTTGAGTGTTGGGTGTGATTTGGGTGTTGGGTATTGGTTGTGGGTGTGGATGTTGGATGTGAGTATTGGTTGGTTGTGGGTGTGAATGTTTTGTGTGGGTTGTGTTTGTTGATGTTGGGTGTTGATGCTGGGTGTGGATGTTGGGTTGAGTGTTGGATGTGGGTATTGGTTGTGGGTGTGGATGTTGTGTGTTGGTTATGTTTGTTGGTGTTGAGTGTGGATGTGGGTATTGGGTCTGGGTGTTGGGCGCGGGAGTTGGGTATGGGTGTGGTTGTTGGGTGTTGGGTATGGGTATTGTGTGTGGGTATTGGATGTTAGGGTGTTGGGATTGGTGTGGGTGTTGGGTGTTGGTGTTCAATGTTGGCGTTGGATGTGGGTGTTGAGTGTTGGGTGTGATTCTGGGTGTTGCGTATTGTTTGTGGGTGTTGCTGTTGGTGTTGTGTGTTGGTTATGTTTGTTGGTGTGGGTGTTGGGTGTTTGGTCTAGGACTGGGTGTTGGTTGTTGGTGTTGGGTGTGGATGTTGGGTGTGAGTGTTGGGTGTTTGATGTGGGTACTGGTTGGTTGTGGGTGTGGCTGTTGTATGTTGGTTATGTTTGTTGGTGTTGGGTCTGGGTGTTGGGTATGGGTGTTGGGTATGTGTGTTGGGAGTTGGGTTTGGGTGTTGTATGGTGGCTGTTGGTGTTGGGTGTTGGGTTGGATGTGGGTGTTGGGTGTTGAGTGTTGGGTGTTGAGTGTTGGGTGTGGATGTTGGTTGTGGATGTAGATGTTGTATATTAGAACATAAGAATTAGCAGCAGGAATAGGCCCCTCGAGCCTGCCCCGCCATTCAATAAAATCATGGGCGTTGGTCTCTGTTGGGTGTCGGGTATTGGGTTTAGGTGTCGGGTATTGGGTATCGGGTATTGGGTTTGGGTGTTTGTGTGAGTGTTTGTGTGAGTATTGGGTGTTGGGTGTGGTTGTGGATGGGCGTGGGTGATGGGTGAGGGTTGGTTATGGTTGTTGCTGTTGGTTGTGGGTGTTGGGTATGGGTCTGTTTGGGTGTCGGTTATTGGGTGTGGGTGTTGGGTTTGGGTTTTGTTTGGTGGGTGTTGGGTGTGGGTGTTAGCTGTGTGTTGGTGATGGACGAGGTTGTTGGGAGTTGGGTGTAGGTGTTGGGTATGAGGGTTGGGTGTGGGTATTGGATGTGAATGTTGGGTGTTTGGTGTGGGTGTTGGGCAAGGGTGTTGGGAGTTGGGTGTAGTTGCTGGGTATTAGTGTTGGGTGTTGGTGTTAGTTGTGAGTGCTGGGTATTGGTGTTGGCTGTGGGTGTTGAGTGTTGGCTGTGGGTGTTGGGGGTGTGTGTTGGGTGTCTGTTGGGTGTGGGTATTGGGTGTGGGTGTTTGGCGAGGTTGTTGGTAGAGAGTGTTGGGAGTTGGGTCTAGTTGTTGGGTGTTAGTGTTGAGTATTGGGATTGGATGTGAGTGTTCGGTGTTGGGTGTGGGTGTGGATGTTTGGTGCGGGTGTTTGGCAGAGGTATTGGGCGTGGGTGTTTGGCATGTGTGTTGGGAGTTGCATTTGGGTATGGGTGTTCGGTGAGGGTGTTTGTGTGGGTGTTGGGTGTGGGTGTTGGATGTGTGTCTTGGTCTCTGTCTGGGTGTTGGGTGTGGGTGTTGTGTGGGTATTGGGTGTTGGTTGTGGGTGTGGATGTTTGGTGTGGGTGTTTTGTGTGGGTGTTGGGCATGTGTGTTGGGAGTTGGATTTGGGTGTGGGTGGTAGGTATGGGTGGTGATGGTTATGGGTGTTGGGTGTTGGCTATGGGTGTTGGGTGTGGGAGTTGAGTATTTGGTGTTGAGTGTTAGGTATGGGTCTTGGTCTGGGTGTTGGTCTCGGGTTTTGGGTGTACGTTTGGGCATAGGTGTTTGTATGGATATTGGGTGTTGGGTGCTGGTGTTGGGTGTGGGTGCAGATGTTTGATGCGAGTGTTAGGTTTTGGGTGTGGGTGTTGGGTGTGTGTCTGGGTGTTGGCTGTAGGTGTTGGATGTGAGTGTTGAATGTGGGTGTTGGGTTTGTGTTGGGTGTGGGTGTTGGATGAGGGTGTTGGGAGTTGGGTGTAGTTGTTGGCTGTTAGTATTTGGTGTTGGGGTTGGACTTGAATGTTGGTGTGGGTGTTGGTTGTGGCTGTGGATGTTGTGTGTTGGTTATGGTTGTTGGTGGTGAGTCTGGGTGTGGGTGTTGGGTGTGGGTCTTGGTCTATGTCTGTATGTTGAGTGTTGGGTGTTAGGTGTGGGGGTTTGTGGGGGTATTGGGTGTTGGGTGCGGGTGTGGATATATGGTGCGGATGTTGGGTGTGGGTGTTGGGCATGTGTTTTGGGAGTTGGATGGGTGTTTGGTGTGGGTGTTGGGTGTTGGTTGTGGGTGCTGGGTATGGGTATTGGTGTTGGATGTGAGTGTTGGGTGTGGGTGTTGGTTGTGGGTGTGGATGTTGTGTGTTGGTTATGGTGTGGGTGTTGGGTGTTGAATGTGGGTCTGGGTCTCGGTCTGAGTGTCAGGTGTTGGGTGTGGGTGATTGTGTGGGTGTTTGTATGGGTATAGGATGTTGGTTTTGGGTTTGTTGTGGGTGTTTGTGTAATTGTGGGTGTTAGTTTGGGTGTTGTGCATGGGTGTGGGTGTTGGTGTGGGTGGTTGTGTGGATGGTGGTGTTGGGAGTGGGTGATGGATAGTTGTTGGGTGTGAGTGTTGGGTATGGATATTGGTGTGGGTATTGGATGTTGAGTGTGGGTGTTGGGTGGTGGTGTAGGTGTTGGTTTGGGTATGGGTGTGGTTGTTGGCGTGGGCGTTGGTGTTTTTATGGGTGTGGATGTTGGTGTGGGTTGTGGTGTTTGTGTGCGTATTTGTGTGGGTGGTGTTGTGGGTGTTGGTGTGGATGGTGGTGT